GAAGCCGCTGTGGGGCTGTGGCCGTGCTTGTCGGGGAGAGGAGAGAACGTTCTCCTCTTCCCGTGGCCAGGAAGACAAAGCCGCAGGGCCATGGCCATGCTGGCCGGGGAGAGGAGAGAACGTTCTCCTCTTCCCCCTGGCCAGGAAGAAGCCACCGCGGGGCCAGGGCCGTGCTTGCAGGACATTGCTTGCCAGAAGTTGCTGAACGTTCTCTCCTCTCCCTGGCCAGAGGCTCGTGTCAGCAAGGCGCCCCTTAATCAAGTCCGGGACAGCTGACAGCGGCTACAGGGAGCAGAGCCTGGAAGCCCCGATGCACCACGTGTGCGGCCACATGGATGGCGGGGGGGGCTGGTCCCAGAAGCCCCAATGCCAGCAGAATCAACAGTGCCGCCTTGCTGCTGCTGCATCCCCCATCCCCTGCAGGGCTTTCAGTTTACCTGGGACGCGAACACCAGAATGACACCAGATATGTTGCAGCAGGTGGCAGAACCTAGCCAATCTAGGCTGTTCATCTCCCCCGCCCCGCTTTAAGTTGGATTAGTCCTGGTTAATCCTTGCAAGGGACTCCCAACAGGAAATTTCAAGGATGTCAGCTGGACTGAGAAGCAGTAAAACACTTTAAAAGAAGGCAGTGATAAAACATGTCCATGTTTCTGCCCAGAAAATTACTCAGGCATTTCCATAAATCATCAAAAGTTATCTTTGCTTTTAATGTTGGATATTATAACTAGAATACCGCAGAACTTGTGTGAAAACTACAAGATTAGAAAGGAACGATGGAACCTGAGAAAATATACAATATAAATAAAGCAAGATTCAAAGTGTCAAAAGAGGCTGTTCATATTTCTGTTATAGGAGACACACACAAATATGTAGCATTGTCTCATTTTCTCCAATAAATGAATTAACATGTATAATGTTTTTGAGCACTATGAGAATAGAACTTTTTGAATCCTTAAGACTAAAACAAGACTGGCAGTCTCAAGTGCAGTTCTGTTGTTCAAACAGTTGAGATAATTCAATGCATTAACCTTAATGTTACTTTAAAATGTAACCTTTACACTTCACACTACAACAGTACATTTCCTGCCCCCAGACCGCACTCCGAAATCACTCATCACTCAGGCAAATATACCATCCACATTTTTAATTAGTACTGATGCACTCTTTTTTTTCCAGATCCATCTGTCACAAAGACTATTTAAAACCTGACTTATTGGGCTTTGCTTAGAAAAAAGATCTGGTTAATATCAGTGTGAAAAGGCACCACTTGCTCATCTACCATACACCGCTGCTTGATAATCCCTACTCTTTCCATAAATTGCTGATAAGAGCTGACCTCAGGTCTCCCAACAGTTGTAAATCAAGTAACAGCAGCTCCTATGCATCAAGGTTAATTTTAGGTCACTATTTATTCAGCAAGAATGTCGACCTGACACTTAAGTGTGTTGCTTATAAATGTGATAAATGGCGTAAACACCAGTTAAGTCTGTCAGGAAGAAGAAGGAAATAAAGCAGTCTATGCTGCAAAAATATTTTATTAATTTATAGTAGTAGTTAATAACTAGGTTTTAAACAACAGTGAACATAATTTCAATCTTGCTCTCACTAAGGGTAACAGAAAGTAAATGGAAAGGTGAAGAAAGCTTAACTCTAGACTAAGATTAACTCTAGACTACTAGATAATTATTGTCACGGGTTCTTTTAACTATAGCCAATTTGATAGGCTCAAAACATTAAAGAGACACCAACAATTCAGGTCTCTAGGCAATACATGTGAGCAATCAGATACTATTACTCATTACTTCTCCACAGGTACTTCTACTCCTGGTCCTCCTAGTACTCCCTTTGAGTACTCCTACTCCTACTTGGAATACTACCAGTGATGAGATTCATCTTTTTTTTACTACTGGTTCTATGAGAGAGCACTTTGTGCGCAGCATCCATAAACCTCCAATTTTAAGCTTCAAAACTGACTTTCTATTGAGTGCTGGTGAGTAAAACAGCTGAGGCGCAGCAAGCCGCAGTGCCACACGAATCAGCTGAATCAACAAACAAGGAAATAAAGCGCAGGAAAGGGTGTGGGTGGGTGGGTGGGCCAACTGCTCACCGGCGCTACCGGTTCGCTAGAATACTACACTTAATACACTTGGAATATTGTGTCAAGTTTTGGTCACCATGATACAAAAAAGATTTTGAGATTCTAGAAAGAGTGCAGAAAAGGTCAAAAAAGATGATTGCGGGGACAGGAAGATAAAACTGAATGGTTGAATGAACTTTGTACGTCTAGTATAATGAAGAGAAGGACTAGCGGTGACTTGATAGGGTGGAGCGATTGGAATTGGGTCTTATCATTGATGTAGCAGCTGGTTTTAACAAACTACTATGGAAAACTGGATGAATTTTCCCCAATAGTCGAGGAAGACTTAACTGGACCGTGAGCGGATTATTTTTGAAATCGAAAACGGACCCAAGAATTTTGGTCCAAATTTTTTACTAGGCAGTTTCAACCTAAGATACTTGGTTGACAAATATATACTTTGTCTCCCACTTTAAATGGCAGTTGAAGGGATCTATGTTTATCCGCCTGCTTTTTATAATTTTTGCAGCTTCGGTCAAAGCTTTTTTTGTATCTTCCCAACTTATTTTTAATGAGTTCATCCATTCCATTAGACACATGGATGTGGGAGGTTCTGAAGGCAATTCTGGCGTAGGGACAAAGTCCATCCCAGTGTTGATTTGGAAAGGAGTCAGACCTATGCTGCTATGTACTGCATTATTATAAGCAACCTCTGCAAATGGTAATAATTCAGCCCAGTTTTCCTGTTGATAATTTACATAGCTTCTAATGTATTGTTCGACCATGGCGTTTGTCCTCTCTGCTGCTCCGTTGCAGGCTGGATGAAATGCTGAGGATAATCATTGGGAGGACCCAATAGACTTCAAGAATTCCCTCCAGAATTTTGCACTAAATTGTACCCCTCTGTCTGATATTATTCTACGAGGTACTCCATGTAGTCTATAGATATGCTTCACAAACAAGTTTGCCAGCTTTTTTGTAGATGGAAGTCCTTTACAGGCTGTAAAGTGGACCTGCTTAGAGAACAAGTCAATTATAGTCAAAATGATCGTATTCCCTTCACTCTTAGGTAATTCTACAATGAAGTCCATTGCGATTTCTTCCCACGGCTTGGTTGGTTCAGCGACTTGTTGTAGGAGACCAGGGGTTTTTCCAGTTCTGTGCTTCATCATGGCACAAATTGAGCAACTTTTTACATAGCCAGGTTTCGACGTTAGGTTTCACTTTTGGTCACCAGAACTGTCTCCTGAGTAAATGTAGGGTTTTTAAGAACCTGAAGTGGCCTCCCAGCCATTAGTCATGGCTATGCTTTAGTACCAGTAGTCGTAGTATAGCTGGTACATAAAGCTTAGTTCCTTTCCAAGCCATTCATTGTTAATTCGGTTCGAGGTCCAGAAACCAGGGATCGGTCAATAAGGCTGCTTTCAACTCCGTGGTCAATTTGTCTTCCAGGTATTTGGGGTTGCGGTTGGCTTGGCCTCGAGTGATTACTTGGTTTGCTGATTGAGTTTCTGATATCATGGCTTGTACTATTTCCTCTCTGTGACTGTCAAACTGGGGTTTTGTGGATAGGGCATCTGCCAATGTTTTCACTCTGGGGATGTATTTCATGCTGAAGTTGAATCGCTTGAGGTATTAAGCAGTTTTATTTTTGACAAAATGAATAGCCAAGAAAAAGATTTTAAAATGTATGCAAGGAAATCACCATAATAGTATGGGGGGGGGGGAGGAAGAGGAGGACACATATCTATCCTATTACTCGCAATCTTTAATTTTTTAAGCTCTTCAATGTTAAAACCACTTCAGGTACAGGTAGTCCTCGACTTACAACAGTTCATTTAGTGGCTGTTCAATGTTACAACAGCACTGAAAAAAGTAACATATGATCATTTTTCAGTTTCGAACTTTGTAACATCCCCATGATCATGTGATCAAAATTCAAATGCTTGGCAATTGGTTTATACTTATGACTACTGCTGTGTCTCAAAATCTGTGACCCCTTTTTGTTATCTTCTGTCAAGGAAAGTCGATGGGAAAGGCAAAGTCACTTAATAACCAGGTTACAAACTTAACAATTGCAGCGATTCACTTAACAACTATGGCAAGAAAAGTTGTAAAATGGGACAAAACTCACTTAACAAATGTATCACTTAACAACAGAAATGACTCAGTTGTAGTCGTAAGTCAAGGACTACCAGTAACATGTTAACCATATAATTAAGCTTTTTACAGGAAAAGTGTTATTATTTGTAACAAGAGTAGGAAAAAGACACAACTTGTTGATCAGTCTTGGTTTAAATATAGGGATTCTAAACAATAAAAAGCCTTTTTTGTATTAAAACTAAAATAAGTACATTGGTAAAACTTCCCAAATTTTATGGGTAATGTCATACTATTAATCACTGAAGCAAGTTATTTCCATGAAGTGATATCCTCCATCAAATTAAGCAGTGTGATTGCTGTCATCAGCGTACTGCTGATCTGCATTTTAGGTAAGTCACGATTCTAGTTAAATAATAATTTAACTACTTACTTTTATTGCCTACAAGGGCCACACGGGGTTGAGTTTCTGACTCTTCATTGACCTTCTTTACAACATTATGCCAATTTTCTAAGTTTTCAAAGCTCTGTTGATTCGTAACATCATACACCAAAAGGACAGCCTAAAAAAAAAAGGCTTATGTGAAAAGCAATATTAATGATAAAAAAATCAGACAACTAAATTGCATAAACTTAAGATAAGGGCTGATGCATAAAGACTCTTAATACATAAATTCTGCACAAGGGGAAAGATGACTTTCAAGTTCACGTATACCATAAAGATACAAACAGATCAAAATCAGTATATTCCAAATAAAATCTAGTGATTCAAAAATTATAGTTTAAAAAATGTTTTGGCATTCTTAATGTTGATAAAACAGAGCTGCAGTAAAATATATTTTTTATTTTTGCTTATATGCTTCAACTGTATCATACTGAGAATTGTATCTATGTATTATATTACACCACCATAATCAAGCCATTTTTATTTTTATTTACTGAAATTTTTTGCTGCCCATCTTGCCAACAAGGCGACTGTCAGTCCGGGATCCACCTTGAATCAGATTTGGGGTTGCCACAAGGGAGGATGGATAACTGTGGGAATGAGAGCGAAGTGAGAAGGGAGGATAGCCACAACAACGTTTTCACCAGAGGTCAAGGTCAAGTCGCTGGAGTTTGGAGGGGAGTTCAGAATGGAGGTGATTAGAGAGGGTGACTTGAGGGTCATCAGTATGTGAGTTTAATATAGCCGGGGAATGTGGGAATTCAGATTCGGGTTTTCCCCAAATGTGCCAATATAACTTCTCTAATAAATTCTTACTTGGATGGACTTTGTCTCTGAGTGCTGAATTGGGATGGAAAGTTTGGCTGGAATGCTGACATTAACCCAAATCCCCTAAAAAGAAAACCACAGCAGCTTTCGCAAACGCAGTACCACTGCCTGGGGTCCTGAGCCCCAAGACGCTCTCCAAAAGTACTGGAAGCATAAACTCAGGGAAGATGGAGCAAGAACCCAAGGCTGGTAAAGGGGCCACCAAACCCATGCAGGGGGAAGTCTGTAAGACCCGCTGTTACCCTGGCAGGGCTTCGGCGGCTTCTAAGAGAATGGGTGGGAGAGGTGGCCCTGTGAACCTGCTCAGCTTCCCTGGGATACATGCGACATCTGATCAGGGAGCTCAGATGTAACAGAAGCAGCAGGGCTTCCAAGGTGAAGAGTATTGGCTACGCCTTGGGAGATAGCCTGAGAAATGGGGAACTTGAGTTCCTCAGACAGACCTTGCTCCTGCCTCTCTCCACAGGGTGGAGCCAGAAACGGTGGGTGTAAAGGTCACCTCAGGGGTAAAAACCCTCCCACTAACCTGAGGCTCAACCCCTGTTGCTAAGCGGTTAAAAGGAAGTTGCTCTGTCGGTTGCAAACTTTCAGTTGGAAAACCAGAAAAAAAATCCCTATCACCCTCTGGGGACCAGTTCAAAGGAACGGCAACCGTAGGTTGGGTTGCTGGCTGGCAGGGGGGGGGAGGAGCCACAGTTTCCGTTAAGACAGAAGCTGGAATACTTTCCTGTTGAGTCTTCTTTTGAATTCTGGAGATTTGTTTTTCCAGAGCCTTCATTCTCCTGTCTGCCTCTTTTTCCTCAGCTCCAGTTGGCTTCCTAGAGTAGATTGCCTTGGCTCTAATCTTGTCAGCTGCATCTTGACTGGCTGATCTGCCTTTCCTGGATCCGGTCTTTCTGGGAGCAGCTGAAGAATCTCTCTGCCCAGACATGCTGTTAGCTGTCAGAATCTGATCAGCCATCTCGACAGCTCCCTTGGCCCAGAAAGGAGCAGCTGTTCTGCCTGCAGCCAGTTAAAAGGGCTGCAGGAAAAAATGGCCGTGCTGCCTCCCTTCAAAAACGAGGGCTAAGAGGCAATGGGCAAAGTGGATTCTCCAATCGTCATGCTGGAGAAACTACTATTTTCAACTGAATATACACAATATAGAGCAAGCAACATCTGTTTTGGACAGCTATTAAGGACACATCTCATTCATTAAAAAAAAAAACACTATCCTAGCACTCTGCCCAAAATAACCCTTGATCTGCAAAATGAATGTTAAAATAAATTTCATTTATATATTCACATTTTCATATTCAGTTAAAGTTATGTTATAAATTATTATTATTTAAATAAACATTATAGTTAGACCAAGAGTAAGAAACTATGGTAGTTTGTAATGCTTTAACCGTACCTGTGCACCATAGATATATTTGTCCAGCATCTTGCTTCCTATGGTTTGGCCTCCGATATCCCATACGTGAAGAGTAACATTTATATTTCCTGAAAAGGGGAAGAGGAAACAAAAAGTTAATGTATAAGGCATAGCCGAGTTACAGAATCAGATATAACTTTACAATTAATTATTGAAACACTATACAATATACCTATATAAAATGTGTTTATCACTAGTTTATTTGTCTTGTATTAGCAACAAGCTTTCTTATTGCACACAACACATGGTTAGCTGTAATCTATCAAATTTCAAAGAATGCTGAAATTCATTAAGAATTTCAAGCTTCTTATTTTTTAAAAAAAAACAGTTTTATTAATTTTAACAACAAACAAAAACACATATAACATAAAAACATCATCCTTTCCTTCATGAGTTTACAGACAGTGTGTCGGTTGGTTTATCACTTTTTTTGTGTGCATCCATTTCATAGTCTCCATTGTAGTTATATTGCATAATAGCTCATATTATCAATCAACAATTATATAGCCTGATATCATTATTAAACAATCATTTGACTATAATTTTATTAATTCATACTTTAGTGAGATAACTATAGTTTACTTAATTTATTTTATAGCAAATCATCAAGTCATAGCAAGTCTATCATAATAAAATTTTATAAAGATAATATCATAGAAAAAAAGGAAATATGTATTCATTGTTTCCTAAGGTTCTAAATATTCTATTATTATATTATCTTATTTTTTAAGCAGCAGTTGTCCATAACACACTGACAATTTGTTTTTACACAGAATGGTAATTTGAAATGCAGATTTATTTGGCTGCCCAGTTAATGTTATCTAAGATATGCAAGTAAAATAAAATATTGAAATACAAAATGGTTTAAAAAACATTTTAAATGTTATAAAATGAAATATAAAATTTTGCTCAAGATTAAAAACTCTTAATAGTGCTGCCCTGACAAATATCTTCTCAGAAGTAAGGCCCCATGAAATCAATGTTACTTACTTCCAAAGAAAAGTACAGTACTGCAGTCTTAGTAACCCAAATGATCAAACACAGGTTGCACCATAGTTTATTAGTTTAAAAAGATGAGTTACTTAAGGGGCCAAGGCAAGTGGCAGTATCTTTATTAATGTCATGCCCTTTAAGTAGAGTCGGACTCTGAGGGAGAGGAGGAACAGCGGACAGGGAGTGGAGGTGCGGCTCCAGAGGTTGTGGAGGAGGCTGGGGAAGGGCCGAGGCCGGCTGGGCTGTCAGAGGAAGAACCAGGCCCATCCCCTCTGCATCCTAGGACACGCAGGGAGGAACGGAGAAGGAAACAGCTTGGCTTATGAGAGAGGAAGTGGCCATGATCCTCCTCATTGGTTGCAGCTGGGGAGACTAGTATATAAGAGAGATGGTTAAAACACAGCGTTGCCAGAAGCAAAGCTAGTTTTATTTTGGGTTGAAGTTATCTTGGTTGGCGTTCTTCCAACGGACTGCGCCTTGTTATCTCCTTGAATTTGGTAATTACTTATCCTAGTCCGTTGTGGAAATTTCATCATTGTAGTTTGTTTGGTTTTTATTTCACTTCTACCTGCTCATTAAGTTCGGACTGTATTGCTTTCTTTTGAAAACTATTTTTGAGAAAGTTTTATCTCCAGCTGAGAATTATTGAACAGCGGGGCCAAGCTGGAGGCATTAAAGGACATTTATTTACGTTTTGGATTTTTTTATGTTTGTATTACACTCTGGGTCATCACAATTAAGTTCCCAAAGGATGAGAAGATGTGGGGGGGGATTTTTGCATTCTACAGCAAAGGTACCACCACAAAGCCCTTCAGACAGTCACCAAATCCTTCTCAGCATCTCTGCTTCCTACGCACTGCCTCTGTGGCAGTCTGAAGGGCAGGGCCAGCACAATGTCCACAGAAGACAATTATTCTGTTATTCCCAAATGGTTAAGGCTATTTAAATTGGGCAAAAAAAATGGATTAGCAGCTATGTTTAGGTTTTTAAAAATTGTCGAAGGCATAAAATAAGTGATCTAAAACTGTTAACTATTCATCTTAGAGAGATCCCACTTCTTAAGGTGGTATGATTAAAGGCAGGTTATGCCATACAAACAAAACAACAACGCTGCGCGGAGGACCTTCATCCCCTGTCAGTGGCACCGTGATAAATGCACTGGGCGGTTCCAGGAAGGGGTTCAGCCTGACTCATTAGCTCAGAGGGGATCCCTGGCTGGATGGCAATTGACACTCATCCTCAGCCATATCACATTTTTTTCTGCAGTGCTTTAGAAACAAAAAAAATAAAACACCAAATAGGCAGACATAAAGATTTTGGAAACAAGCCTATAAACAAAATACAATATAATTTTGTGAGGTACTGTATCACAAATTATTTTCACTGTTTGTTAACAGACGTCCAGCAAATATTCCTTGTGGATAATTTTTTTTCCCTTTGTTAGTAATGCAATTCAGTGTGTGTGTGTGTGTGTGTGTGTGTGTGTGTGCGCATGTTACCATAGAATCTTCAGATTCTCTCCCTCCCTCTCTCTCTCTCCCCTCCCTCCCTCCCCCCTCACTTAAATTTAACTCATTCTATTTCAAATTAGGCACAGCGGTACCAGAAGCATTCAAATATCTTTCTGCCATTTTAGAACTGTTCCAGGCATAAAATGTGCCCATTACTAGTTTCCAAAGACACTATATTTGAAATGTTTTGCACATCACTACTGTTTATATCTTTCACACGGAACAACCTAATACAAATATGTGGAATTTAAACAAAATAGTATTTTTCTCATTATACTGATGTATAATCCTCTCACTCCCCTCAAAGGTCCCAATCAGGTACATATTCAAAACAATATTATCTTGCTGTTGACTGAATCACCCTCAAGGGAGAGTTAAAAGAAAGGAGATTTTTGTCACACAAAGAAAACGACTTTTGAGACTGAATTGTATCTAACAGAAATGCGTAACAAAACCTATTAATTTATTAGATTTTTAAAAAGCAGTGATTTCATTTCATTCACCTTTGCAAGTTTTCGAAAAAATAAGACATTTGAACTGTCCGATACTATTTGTATGATTAACTTCTCATTTTGATGTTAATTATTTTAATTAAGCTCAGATTGGTTTCTAATTGCAGCTCCATCTTTAGCGGAAATAAATTACAAAAAAAGATAGTTCACAATAAGCAGCTTGTCTTGTTAATCTTTCTATAAAATTGCTGCAAAGAAACAATTTAGTCCTTCAAGAAGAGGGTGGCCAGATAAATGATCCCTACATTTCTAGCGGCAGAAGAAAGTGAGTTAATTTTAATATTGCTAAATGCCTATTTAATAAGACAGTTGTAGCTGGTATACAAAATCATCCAATATTTCACCCATGTCTCTAAGTAAATATATTACCTTACAACATTTCTGATGGCAGTCATGCAGACATTCACTGCAAACAGCATTTCCCCCATGGGAAACAGAAGGGTGCTAAATAAATAAATCTGTGGAGATTTACTCCAAAGAGGTATTAATGGTCCTGATAATTGCATGGTACAAAATCTATTTTGATTGTGGCTTTTCCCCATCCCCACATTTATAAAAAAAAGAAAGAATATGCATCTACTTTTTCTTCAGGTATGCTTTTCTATACATTTTTTATCAGAAGCTAATTACTTATTTGGTACATAACAGCAATAATTCACGCATTTTTTTAATTCAACCAAGCATGAAATTGAATTTATCAAGAATGCAGGGCAAATATCCAAAAGTTTTTGGTCACTCGTAGGATTCAATAACCCTCTAAAACAGGGGTATCAAAGTAGCATCATCATGGCGTTGTCAAGTGATGTATCATGGCTTTTTTCCTTTGCTAAACCAGGTGTGAGCGTGCCAGGAAGTGATGCATTCAGCCCATGGGCCACGAGTTTGACACCCCTGCTCTAAAAGTATACTAAGTCTGCTAGTTAACCTTAATTAAAGTCTATGTCATCAAGATAGAATTAAAACCACCTTTGTTCATTTCTTTTGCTGAAGCCTTTTAAACCTCCTCACAGTAAAATCTTGTTTACTGGGTTATATATCTGCAATTTTCCTTCAAGTATTTTGACTGGCACTTAATGAGTTATATTTGTAAAGCCTCTGAGTAACAGCAACATTATTTTAAGCTCAGAAATCTGCCCTATATTGTAGCTACATCTGGGGTATACTGTGCTATAGGTGTACACTAATGCTACATCATAAAATTATTTTAAACGAAGAAAATTCAGTTAGTTTAATTGAGATATATTGTCCACCCTGGTGTAATTATTTAATGCTAAATATTAAAAGACATATTCAATTTAAAATAGATTACTTTAGCTAAAATTATTTCTTTAATTTCTAACGTGCTTTATTTAGCATATTATATTTTAGTAGTCCTTACAGCAAATCCTGTCCGATCTCAGGAGCTTAACTGTCAACCTAGTTGGCATTCATAGGGAAACTTGCAGAATGGTTGTCCAAAAAGAGAGATATTCCAATCCAGTAATACTTGCCAAGAAATTTCATGAATATAGTTGTTAGAAGTTGGTTTCATGTTGCTTTATGTAATGTGATTTACCATGTTTCATTAAATAAAACAGATAATTATTTTATGAAATATTTAAATAATATATACATATACGCACACTTACACTCCAATTCTAAATACAAGAGTACCAGTTCAGAGATCCTTTTCTGCACAGCATTTGACCATGAAGTGTGTGTTAAGTAATGCCTCTCCTACTTGCGGAAAATAATTCGATTCAGTCAATTTTGCTAATTCTCCCTTTCACTGGTAATTTCTTATCATCTCACGCTTTCTACTTTTAGCCAAGGCAAAACTGACTCAATAAGCAGCAGCTCCAGGAATGAAGTAAAAATCACTGATCCTATCCCAACAGTGCCAAAAAGCTAATTCCAAGACCTACCCTTGAACCAATTTGGTCAAATTCCTTTCTATTTAATCTAGGAAGATCTCAACATAGCCAATTTCTTATCGATTTATCGTTGGGCGTGTTGCAAAGCCCTAAAAGAATTCCTCAACAACCAGAATGTCAGGCTGCAGTAGCGGCCTAAATTTCACGTTGCAATTAATTGAGTGATTATTCTCCATCTTATCCCTGACAAAAAAAACAGAAACCAGAAACCATCTAGAACTGTTGGAGAAAGAAGGAAACAAAGGGAATTTTCTTCTCCTCGCTGACTGTCTGGATTATAAGGATTTTTGCTTTGTTTTGTTGTGAAATCACTGGCATGATGGCACCGCATGTTGGGTCTGGTAGCCACCACTACATCACTTGCATCCATTTGGACAATAAAAGGCTTGGTCGCGTCTGGCTGCTGGAGGATGGACTCAAGCTGCAAAGAGGCATTTTAAGGTTTCAAAAGCTTTCTGACTGTACATGGTCCAAGCCAGTGGTTGATTTGGCTTCGGTTTGGTGGGTGACAGGCCCGTTTTTAATAGCTCCGTTAAAGGGAGGGCAACTTCAGCAAAGGACGGAATGAATTGTCTATAGAAGTTGGCAAACCCTAAAAAACTTTGAAGTTGTTTTCGGGTTCTGGGGGGGTTGCCAGTCCAGCACTGCTTTCACCTTTCCGGGGTCCATTTCAATTCCTAAGTTGGATATTTGGTAGCCTAAATAATCCAGTGACTCTTTGTGGAATTTGCATTTTGAGAGTTTCACATATAATTTGGCGGCTAGAAGTTTTTCTACAACTTGTCGGACCAATTGAACATGTTCTTCCATGGTTTTGCTGAAGATAAGGATGTCACCAGGTATATGAAGAACCCCTGATAAAAGTGTGGGTGTAGCACCTTACTGATGAGTTGCATGAATACTGCAGGAGCCCCCAGAAGTCCGAAAGTCCGACTTTGAATTAGAAGCTACTCAGAGGGCAGTTAAAAGCAGTTTTCCACTCATCTCCCTCTTTGATGCGGACCCAGTAGTAAGCTTCCCTGAGATCTAGCTTGGTGAATATCTTGCCCTTCGACAGGTGGTTCAATAAGTCCTTCATAAGGGGAAGAGGGTACATGTTTTTGATGCGTACGGCATTCACGCCTCTAAAGTCAACACACAATCTCAACCCATCTTTCTTCTCCTTGAACAACATGGGGGCAACTAGTCTTGATTTGGCAGGCTCAATAAAACTTTGTTCCAAATTGCTGTTGATGTATTTCCTTAATTCAGTCATTTCAGCAGGCGTCATGGAATACATCTTTGGTTTCGGTAATTTCGCCCGGGCTCTAATTCTATGGCGCAATCAGTGGCTCGATGGGGAGGTAAAACATTACACTCTTCTTCACTGAATACTTTAGCCCAATTTTTGTATTGGTTGGGTACCTGTTGGTTATCTGGGAGAAGGTGGGATGCCATGGATGCTCGCTCAGGCTCTGGGTTCAAGCTGACTGGTGGTTTTGTGGTGGGTGGAAGAGGGGGCAATTGGCCTGGTCCAATAAGGATTTTTCTGAATCCATCCTCCCATTTGATCATCGGGGCCCACTTGTATACCCAAGCAAGTCCCAGTATGATTGATTCTGGCATCTTGGGGGCCACTATGAAGAGTATGAGTTCGTGATGGGGCCCTAATTCCATCTTGATCAATTCAGCCATCTGAGTGGCTGCCCCCCCTCCCCAATTAAGGTTCCATCCACTTGCTCAAATCTGATTACGCGTTTTAGCGGGTTAGTCTTTATGCCCAATTGTTCAACGATGGGGAGTCTGATAAGACATCTAGAACACCCAGTATCAATGACAGCTTCTAACTCCCTGGCCTCCCCTATGTTTGGTACCACTAACTTGACCTTGACTGTAAAAGGTATGATGGGATTGCTCACTATTGGGTCGTCTTTGCAGGTCGGGTTCTCGAGGATGTGGTGGCAGTCTGGTGGTCCGTTGCTCCCATCTGCGCAGAGGGGCTTTCCCAGCTGTGTTTGGCAAACCCATCCCTGACTGGAGGTCTTTCTTGATTCTTCTGACCTCTAACAGCTGGATTAGACTTTGACTGCAGAGCTTGTGGTACAGGAGCAGGGGCCAGACAGTCTGTTGCTCTCTATGGCCAGCTTGGCCACATCGGTAACATTTCAGCACCCTGGTAGGTTGGGTATGAGCAGGTTCAGCTGATCCAGTCGGCGGTCTCCTAACCACAATTCTCTTAGGCAGGGCTGCCGGAAGGGGTTTCCTGTGTGGGTTGATGCTGCGATCTAAGCTGAGGGATGCGACATACCATAATTGTAAGGTCTCTGGGATTCCCCTAATTTCACAGGCCTTCTTTACTTCTGGATCAATGGCGTTTTTAAAATCGTGTAAAGTCATTCTTTCAGGCCAATCCATGAGGTGGCTTGCGACCCTTCTAAAGTCCCAAATAAATTCTGACAAGAGTCGCTTGTCTTGCCTCATTTCCATTAACTTCTCTTCATTCTCTGCTACCCTGTCTGGATTTTCAAATCTGAGTCTTAATAATTGAATAAATCCGTTTACATCATGTAATTCCGGGGCTTGTTCGTTGTGTAGTTGGGCCACCCAGTCTGAAGCATCTCCTTCATTCATCCCATTTGTTGTGGCCGTAACCAAATCGCACTCTGTGGCGTATTGATTTCCAAATTGTTCTATATGGGATTGGATTCGAGTGAGGAAGTAATTGAAATGTTCATGGAGGCCATTGAATGCAACCTTAAAGGCTATTTGGTCCAGCCTCGGTCATGGTTGTGGAGGTGGCACAGGCCAGGCCCCTGAAGGTTGTACTGGAATGAAAGGAACTGACCTGGTGGCGTACATAGGCTGGGTAGTATATCCTGGCTGGGTGGTGCCTCTCTGGAATAGGGGTCCCTGTGGCCTCGCTGCCGGTTGGGGCTGCATTTGTGGTTGCCAAGAGGAAGATGGGTGTGGCCTGGTTCCCTGGTCAGGTGGAGGGGAAGTGGCTGCTGTCTGTTGTCTGGGCAATCCCCCTTCAGACCAGGGCTGTGTTGGTGCTGGCTGCCATTGGCATTGAATCCACCCCTGGCCTGGATAAAGTCCCCACCCTGGAGGGATACTCTCTGCAGGGGGAAAAATTCCCTCTGGAAAATGAGGGGATTGCCTCGGAGGCTGCAACATACCTCTGTCAGTTGATGCGTCTTTCTGGCTTCCTCCAACTGGCATCTGTACAGTCTCCTCCCTCCAATCTGACAGAATAGCAATATGCCTGAGTCTTGAGAAAGATTTCTCTTCGAACAGCTGTGTTACCTCTGGGTTATAACAACTTCTTTTTTTTTAATTTTTTTTTAAATTCCCACACTCTTTACAAAAAAGTATTCCTTGAATTAAACATACCAAGACAATTAGTAAATAGTTCTCATTTTTATAGCTGAACTTTTTATACTATGAAGTAATTTTACAAATGTTCAGTTTGTAAGTGGTATGCAATCTCTAAAATTTGGCCAATATATTGAAACAAAATTGAGAATTTTATTTCTTCATTAACAATTGGCAATCTGAGGCCTGGGAATATTTTGAATTATTGCGTCTGAACTATCAAGGAGTAAGAAATTTTGAGTGTACCTGGTTATTTACTTAAAGCAATATATATATATCATTAAAAGGGTGTTACTGATAAAAATGCATCCATTATAACTAACCTAGACGAAAGTGAGACATCAGCTCTGAGAGTTCTAGAACATTCAGATGTATTGATTTCAGTTAATACCAGTCAGTTACAGTACCAAAGATAATGTTATTATAGCCATAAATTCTAAATTCTAGAGCTTGGCTATTACAACTAAAGGGCTGTGATTATCTTTCAATTCTTTAGCATTTACATACATTATAAAAAGAAACAAAAATGTTCAAGACTCAAACTGCTAAAAATTCTGCCTGTGTTGTTGTGAAAATTAATTAATTAATGGGTGACTCCCTTGAGTTGTTATTCTCTACTGTAGGGGAACAAGTTTTAGATGAAGGCTTACATCTATTCAGATTTAATAGTGAACACAAACTTTAGAAAAAGTGGCAAGTCAAGGATTATAGAATAGAATAGAATAGAATAGAATAGAATAGAATAGAATAGAATAGAATAGAATTCTTTATTGGCCAAGTGTGATTGGACACAAAAGGAATCTGTCTTGATGCAAATGCTCCCAGTGTACATAAAAGATAAATTCGTCAAGAATTAAGAATCATAAGGTACAACACTTAATGATAGTCATAGGGTACAATAAGCAATCAAATCATACTAGGAAACAGTCAATATAAATCATAAGGATACAAGTGACAAAGTTACACTCATACAGTCACAAGTGGGAGGGTCGTTTAAGTTCTACTTTTCCTGAATTTACATATTCATGCTCCAAATCAAAGTTATAATAATCTCAACTAGCATGTGCAAAATATAAAGTAGTGCAAGAATACAAACTTATTTAGCAATGAACCTTGTTAGTGGAATCATAGAATCATAGGGCTGGAAGAGACTTTGGAAGTCTTCAACTCCTAGCCCAAGGTAGGAGTCTCATTCCATCAAAGTTTTGTTCACATTCCTGAAGTATTAAATGTTCTTATGCTCTCCTGAATACTTTACTCTTACTCCTGTTTTTATATAGTGTATTCTGATTTTATCTTACCTGGGAGTGTTATTCTTTTCAAAAAGAAGTCAAGTCCTATGGTTTGCTTGTATTGCTTTCCAAAAGTATCGTGAACAAAACGAGTAGCTAAGGAGGTCTAAAAAGAAAATTATATCTAATTCAGAAGCAATGAACAAAAACCCTAAATTTAAACTCTATTATTTCTAATATTTCTTTCACTTATGGTAATAATAAAGCAATTTTGTATAGTAATACTACAAACACTTTACCCATCATCACAGCTCTTAGGATCACATCAAATATTAATTAATCAATTAACTAAATACTAACAATAAATAAAATATATTGCAATTCGGAACATCATACAAAGAAATTGCCACCTCCTGAGGCTCTGGCTCCTCAACTGAAATATACTGAGTAAGTGGGAAAAGGAAGTAAGGGGAATGCATACCTGTTCTTCATTCTTTTAAACACCGTGTGAAACATGAAAGAAAACCATGAATGCCATTGCTGAAAAGAGATCGGATCACTTTCAGCAACAGAATCCCAACAATCCTTAGCATTCTTTCTTTTCTAAAAAGGAACTCGCTGAAAACAACATGGAGTTGGACTAAATTTGAACTCTATTTCATCCTCAGGTAAAAAGGTATTGATTATAGATTTTTTAAATCTAAAAATCCCACCTTTATTATAAATTCAAAGCAATGAAAATACCAAATACTCCTTATATTTTCCCCGTGAAAACAACCCTGTGAGGTAAGTTGGACTGAAGAACTGGGCCCAAGTCACCTATGTGTCTTCCATGCCTAAGGTGGGACTAGAACTCCTAGCATTCTAGTTTCTAGCCTAGTGCCTTCAATACTAGACAGAACTAGCTCTAGACCAAAGTTCCTAAAACAATAAATGTATTATCACACCACTTCTATTCTTGCCCTTAATTTAATTAACTAACCTACAATCACTGTCTTTTCACATAATTTTCTTCAAGCTTCTTTTTCTACCCACAGTAAAATATTTCCAAATAAATCTATTTTGAATTTGTACTCAGAATATATGTACGCATGTAAGTCATTTGATGTATATATATCCAGAAATAAACCCATGCATACCACATAGAAAAAAATTGTCTGATGTGTTATTACAAAACCAAATTACATAATCAGTTGGCAGACCATTATTTCCTGCTGTAATTCCAAATACATAATTTTTTCCAACTTGCATATACAGATACCTAATGATCAAAATGGAGGTGAAGTTTACAAGTAATAACATATCCGGAATTGCACCCAAGCTAAGGAATATACTATTGGTAATTACTTACTCTTCACTTTTCTACCATTAGAAAAGGAGTTCAGACATTCTTCTTCATTCAGACATTCAACTTTATTGAAGTTTTACTTTTGAATTTTACCAATAAAAAATGCTTTCTCGGGGGACCTCTGCTCAGACTAAGTGGGAAGGCTGAATGATGATGGGATGAGCTAAGGTCACCCTTGTAGTATGAGCAAATGGGGAGGAGGGCAGGTGGGACACAGCAGATATGAAGAAAGAGAATCAAATCAACAAACTTCCAATCCAACTTGGAAACCGGAACTCTATGATCAAGAACACCTGATGGATGCAGCTGAAACAACAACTCTGGATGCCAAAGGTCAGAACACACTGGACAGACACTGAACTTTCACAAACAGATCTGAGTTGATGAGGTAAACAGACAAAAGTCAAAAATACTTACTTATTCACTGAAAATGTCAGTACTGAAAGAATTCCTAGATTTACAAGGACATTTCCAATCAAAATATGAGGGGAGGGGAGGGGAGGAGAGGAGAGAGTGTGATATTTTAGAAACTCACCAAATATCAACCCCTATTTTATTCTTAAAACAAAAATACAAGAATTTGACAATAATATTCAAGTTTGCTGGCAAACAAGTTTTTAAAAATGAAAGAGATACATAATGGAATAAAAAATATTGAAAGTCACATCTTCACTAACACTAAAAATATTAGTATAAATTTTATAGAGGTTTTTATGGAACTAAACCCTTCTGAAAACCTGCAAGAGAAAAAAAATTACTAACATCCCAACAAACTGGATTTCCCAGAATTATTTTAATGGATGCTCAATACTTGAATACTTGAGATTTATCAATCAAAAGTTGAATATATTTTTAAGGCTTTAATAATGGAAAATCTCCAGATCCTGATGGGCTAACAGCCAAATTCTATAAGGCATTTGGATATTCTTCTGCTAGAATTTCAGGAAACTTGTATTCCCTTATCCTAGCACTGGTCTAATTCCCAAACTAAGTAAAAAAGACCAGTTAAAAGTTTTTTCTTACATATTCATCTCTTTTAATCTTGATAATCAATTATTTATTAAACTATTTTATAATTTATATAATTACATATTTAAATTATATCATTTATAATTTAAGCCAATCATATTAGTTATAGGAAAAATTATTCATTCTGATCAATCACATTTTACTCAGAAAAGATCTAGTCCTATCAGAAAATTGCTAGGTGTAAGGACCAGCCTTTCCCCTCCTTCAAAATATAAGTATGAATTCTTGAAAACTTTGTATTTCAAAAGGAATCTTTTTACTGAAGAGGGGTAAAGCACGTCAAAATTCAAAGCAGGGTCTGGGGTCCTTCAGGCATGCAACTAAGATAAAGGGAATTAGGACCCCTCCCCGCAGTTCCATGTGAAAAATGTTGCAGAAAAACAGAAGAAAGAATTAATGGAAATATTAGACATTCAGTTCATTAAGAAAATAAATTTAGGAATTCAATTAACAGCAAGATGTGTAACGATTAAGGAAGACAACTATTATGGGTTGAAACAGCAAATTAAGATAGATCTGGAAAAGTGGGAAAAATTGCAATTATCCCTAATAGGGAGAATAGCAACAATTGAAATGAATATACTGCCTAGGCTATTGTATCTGTTCCAAACAATTCCGATAAAACTGGAGAAAAAATATTTTGAAGAACTTAATAGAATAATACTAAAATATGTATGGCAAGGGAAAAGAGCAAGAATTAAGTTAAAAATGTTACAGGATACAAGAATTAGAGGAAGGTTTGGATTACCCCGTTGGGAATTATATTACCAAGCTGCGGTGCTAACATGGATGAAAGTGGATTGTATTGAGGAATACATTGGAGGGGCATGATTTACAACTGGGTTGACATGCCTTTTTATGGTACGGGAAAAATAAGATACATAGTTACTTTCAAAGACACTATATCAGAAATGCTTTATTGTTAATTTGGGAGAAAACGAGAGAACAACATTATTTGAAGATTCCAGTTTGGTTTTCGACAATGGAAGCACTTATACATCCAAACATTATTAATAGGGGAAATATTGTTAGATACAAAGGTATTTTGAACAAAAAGGGTGAGCTCTAAATGAAACAATTATTAAATGAACAAGGGTTTGATATGGTTTGGTATTCACATATGCAAATATATTCTAAATATGAAAAAACGTGAAAAGGGTCGTTGGTTCTTACCTGATATGACCTTTCTCGTTTGGTGGAGACAGCATCCAGGATTGGGTTGTCAGTTGCTGCTAGCTAATTGGACTGAATCTGTCAGATCTGTGAGGACACCCCCCTGTTGCTAAGGGTCCCCAGACTTTGTGCATTTGTATATAGGCACTTGAGATCTTTATGTCTGACACTGTGTTTACTGTCTACATAACATGTGCCTGCCTGCCCCTACTTTCTTTCTACCTGTTTGATTAATGCACATGGTATGGTATTCACTATTAAATGCTTGGTTTTGGTTGTCAGCAAGGTAGATAATCTTACCTGCACAAACATCTATTTTACATGCACTGATATCCTTATTAATTTTAGGTTGCTGGGGACAGAAATGTTCTCTATCCATTAATTCTCTGTCCCCGCTGTTCAGTTTAAATGTTTATCCAGGAAATCTGTGAATTTAATGCCAAGTAACTCAGTCCCTTTCTTTGATGGATGCAAACCATCTCTTTTGTACAGTTTTTCATTGGACCAGCTGAAGACATCATGACTAATAAAACCAAAGCCTTCCCTTTTACACCACTCCTTCAGCCACACATTAAATTCCGCTACACGGTGGCCTTTCCCTTTTTGTTCCTTGTATACTGGTAGAACCTCTGAAAGATACGCCCATACTACTAAGTTCATACCCTAAGCTCTGGAAGTCTTTCTGAACAGGAAGTACATCCTTCTGGGACCAGGATACATCTTGTACCAAGATGTATAATAGCATCAACATCACAGTCCTTATTGGCATCCTTGGCTATCTTAAGAATACGCCTCTTGTCTCTGCTGGCAGTAGCACCTGGCAGACACCTGACCTCTTTCAAAACCTCTGTATTCTTTCCTAAATTTACATCCCTTACAATTGAGTCCCTAACCAGAAGGTAGCTTCTCTTTTTGGATACCTTGCTTTCTTGTGTGACTGATGTGTAATACCTGATTCACACTTTCTCCTTTCCAAAGTAAGTTCTTCTTCTAGGACCATGATCCCCAGCTTGAGTTAACATTATCACAACTACCTTGACCTGTCACTTTAGTGTCCCTATTAAGGTCAGCAAGGGCACTGTATCTGTTATGCTGGGGCACAGCAGCAGCTTTGTGTTTATGGTACACATCTCTCACCCTGCCAGATCCCGCGGTTGTCCATACTGCCCTTTTCCTGTAGGATCTTAGTGGTAGTGGGGGCTGGTAGCATGGCAGCTCAATAGATGGCTGGAGTGGGCACCTAATTTCTGTTTGGAGAGCACAGATTAGAGATTCTAGATAGGTAATCTGTCCCTGCAGACCGATAATTTTTTTTACAGAGGACATAGAACTGCGAAAGACAGCTGCAAAACAAGTACTACACTGAACTAAGCCAGTCATTTTGTAATAAAATAAAATCACAATCTTAAGCACACTAACCCTGCATGTATTATTGGTATTTCTGGTTTATAGTTATATGATTCGCACGCCGTTAGGACCGCTATCTGCCTCCCTCGCAAGCAGCCAGCAGCTCCTCCCACCAACCTCTGGGAAGTTGAAGCCTCGTTGGTTCAGCTGCTTGTTGAAGGAGGCCAGAGGTTTTTCCAGTTCTGTGTTTCATCATGGCACAAATTGAG